TCCAAACTAAGTCTGCTAGAATTTTTATTGCTAGCAGTGGCACGCTCGCACACCAAAGAAAGCTGACTTGTCGACCAGTTTATGGTTCTCAAGGCAGTGGGGAACTTTGCCCTTCCATCACAGGAGTGAACGCAAAACGGGCAAACACATATTAACCTTGAGGACCACAAATGACCAAAAAAAATATTAAGGATGCAATCTGATAGTTTCGTAAACCTTAGGGGCGTTTTGTGATAATAAGCCTTTTAAAAAAAAAAATAGTACAGCCGCGTTTCTTTCTAAATTTTTTTAAGAAAAAAAATAGTATAGTCAGTCGACTATACTGGAATTTTTCCTTACTTTTTTTAAAAATTGTATTTCCGAGAGGCTACTTGTTCTTGGAGCGGCCTTACTGTTTTTGACGTGGCGGCTATCACTACGTGGGTCCTTTTTTTAATATATATATAAATAGTATAGCAGCGTGGCTATACCTCGTTTTTTAATTTTTAAAAAAATAGTATAGCCGAGCGGCCATACTCGGTTTTATTAATGTATCTTTAAAAATAGTATAGCCGCCCGGCTATCCGAATTTTGACACATGAGCCTAATCCTTGGGCGGCATTACTGATTTTTCTTGTTTTAAATTTTTTAAATTTTTTGTTCTAAATAATATAGTGGTCGAACATTTAAGTTGTAATTTGCAAACAATTTTGCCGAATAAAACACGTACGTATTTTATTCGTATTTTTTCCCATTCCGTATTTTACTAACTATGAATGAATGTACAGCTGCGATGCTATACCAGGTTTTTATTTATTAAAAATCGTACAACAGCACAGCTATACTTGGTTTCTTTCTAATTTTTTATTTTATAAAAAAAATAGTATAGTCGCTCGACTATACTAGGATCTTTCCTAATTTTTTTTTTTTAAATTGTTTCGCTGAGCGGCTATACTCGTTCTTCCCTAATTTTTTTTTAAAAAACATAGTATAGCCGACCAGCTTTACTGCTTTTGATGTGGCGGCTAGCTCCAAGTGGGTCCTTTTTTTAATTTATATAAATCGTATAGCCAAACGGCTATACTTGGTTTTGTTTTGTTTCGTTTCTTAAATAATATAGCCTCCCGGCTATCCTCAGTTTTATTAATGTTTCTCTAAAAATAGTATAGCCGCCTGGCTCTCAACATTTTGACACGTGGGCCTAATCCCTGGGCAGGTCCTCTTTTGATTTTTATAAATAGTATAGCCGGGCGGCTTTACTGGTTTTTCTTGTTTTAATTTTTTTTTAATAAATAGTGTAGGCGAACAACTATACTATATAACTGGATCCTTTTTTGTCTTTTAAATTGTTTTCCCCAATTTTCGTTTATTAATAAGAGTAGTTTAGAGTATTATTCATTATTATTAGGCCATTATCCGAGTTTCTATTGTCCCCTTTTGATTTTTTACTTTTTCAGAGTTATTTCTCATATAAATAATTTAACACTTTCATGGTTAATAACATATTATACATGTACGTACGTATTTTTTATTAATACATTCGCGTTATGCACATGTCTTAAAGACTTGGTAAAGTTTGTGTTTTTTAAAAAGCAAACGTTGTAATATCCCACATCGACCAACGGAGAGGAGGTGATGTGCCTTATATGTACATGCCCACCTTCATTTAGCACGAGGCCTTTTGGGAGCTCATTGGCTTCGGAGTCATAAGAACTCCAAAGTTAAGCGAGTTTAGGTTAGAGCAATCCCAGGATGAGTGACCAACTAGGAAGTTGCTTGTGAGGTCCCAGAAACATAACCATGATGGCAAGGGGCCCAAAGCAGACAATATCATGCCGTAGCCGATCTGGGATGTTACAAACGTACAATACTCGTATTATACAGGTACGTATGTATTCTTCATGAAATGCATTTATATATGCTATATTATAATATTGCTTGCAGGTCCATTGCATAGCTCACATGTAAATGTAGACACAACAATTAATTATGTTGCTAATTTATTTATTTATCAAATTGTGGGTGTTCACAGATAAGGCAAGATCTGCATTTGTCACGTCTCTGTCTGTCTCAAGAAAATAATTGAGGCTAATAAGCAAAGAGACTCATTATATGGGGCTGTTACCACAAAGAAAAGCAACCATGTGGAGATTCAAATCTGCAAACTACCATGTGAGTATTGATTATCTTTGATTTATTTGTGCATAATCATCTCCGGACTGTTGAGAGAATTGGAATCTTGACAACTATAATGTCAATTAAATTGCACGAAATTCTTGAGACTGAATTTTTACACCCTCAAGTTGAAAAGCTATGTTGTTTGAGTAAAAAATGGTTCAAGTTATTCACCTTCAAGTTTTTCAACTTTTGCAAGAGATCCTTCCATTAAATCATTGTATTGTTTATTCTGTTTGATGGGTTATTTATGCATGGGAAATTGAATTTACTGTTTGTTTAATCTGTCATCAGGATTGCACAATTTAAAAAGATGGACAAAGCAAGACATAGAACAGATATATTTTGGATCTGATGAGAAAATACACATACATCTCTTTCATATACAAGTATGTTTGTTCAATGTCTACAAAATTGGATGATTTTCATCCCTAATGGTTGAAAGTGTTGAGAAGAGAGACTCTGGCTTTGATCAAGCGCCTGAACAGGCACTCAAGTCCTTCTTCTATATCTTGAATGTTTGCCTCCAATCCTGGAGCCAAATTTGCACATTCTCAACTTGCATGGCATAATCAGATTTCTTAGACTTGTGAGTATTCAATGCAGCATCCACCTTCTCAAGTTCATTCGTATCTGCAGTTTCCTCACCCTCACAGGATACTCTTTTGGGCTGCACTAGCTTGGAAACTAATGACCAACTGCTTGACTTTGATTTCGAACCAGCTATGAAGGACAACAAGGATTCAAACACAGCAACAGTTACTGCATCTAACTCTTTCAACATGTTGATCACAGCTGGAGTTTCATGGTTTTTGTCGGTCCCATAACTTTCCTTGACCTTGAAGGCCTTGTTCATTGCCTTGTTGACATCCTTCCTAGAGGCAAGGTACTTTCTAACCTCACTCATGAAGCTCATGTCACCTCCTCGTCTTCTGCGCATAATGGATTGAAGTTCATGTGTGCACTACTTTATTTGCAAAAGGGCATCCTTAATGATGCCACACACATCCAGGAACCTCAAAGATCCATCTAGTATCATTGATCCATTTGTCTCCACAAGCCTGGGATAAGGTTTGCTGAGAGTGTGGCAATAGAAGAAACTTCTCAACCCAATCATGCAAATCTTGGAAAAGAGAAAGGTCTTGTACTTTGCAGTTGAATGTTCAATTTGGTGTTTCAGTTTTCTTTCCTTCCCTTTGGCATCTGCTCAATATATATCACACGGTTCGGGAGGCAAGAACTCATCCTCTTCACAGCTAAATCAGTCAAAATGTGATTTCGATATGGATCCAAAAACTATATCAGCGATGTTTATGCATTGTCTCCCCACCACCGGATCACAAACCCCATCAGCACCTATATTTTACTTAAAATCTATAGCATGAGTATCTTCAATTTGGTAACAATGTCATGGGATCAGCTTTGCCTGCCTCCGGTCCCCGGTGACGAGTTCTGTATCACTCTGCCCAGGAAATATTTTTGCATTAATATATATTCATGTGGTACATTTTCTGTGTCAGAATCATTCATCACCTTCCATTTCCTGCCAACTAGTTTTTTAATATCATACACATGCATTTGCTGCTAGTGTTCAAAAAATCGTCCTAGGCGGCGCCTAGGGGTGGCCTGGGCGGGTCTGGGCGCCTTGGGGTGGCCTGGGCGGGTCTGGGCGCCTAGGCTAGTCCTTCATTTCCGAGAGCTTTTGGCGGCACCATGTGGTAAACTAAGCGAAGAAGATTTGGCTGGATCTGCTCCACGAGCTTGCGGGGGCAGCACCAGGTGGTAAACGCGAAGAAGATGACCTAATGGAATATGTTGTACGCATCGTTTTGTTGGGTAGGAATTATTAAGCTATACGTATCGTTTTGTTGGGTAGGAGTTATAAAGCTATACGTATCGTTTATGGGCCCAACAAACAAAAACCCTTTCGGTCTATACCCAAAAATTGCAATGTAATATTTTTTT